GCCCACTTGCCTTCTTTTTATTCATGAATTCCATTTTGTAATAGTAATAATATACAATGCAATGCATTTTCAGGGAATGACTGCATTTCTCAAGTGGCCAAAGTCATTTGGCCTTTCACCCTAATTCCTTGCAACATCAAACTAGGTGTTATAGTTGCCCAAAGATGCTCTGTCTGGAGTATTATAATTTGTATCTGAAGTTGCTACGCTTTCACCTGACCAGTCCATGTACATTCCAATAAGAAGAGGGGTTGTCTAGCCATGGAGTTAAAGGCTACAAGGGTTCACCAGATCATGTAATCTGACTCCCTGTATATCACAAGTCCCCACTTCCACACAACACCTACATACTAAACCCACCAACCAAAGTGAGTCCAAAGTATCACAGTCCATAGGAGACTAGACTTCACCTGGGATATATCAATGAGTGTGCTCATATAGGGCACTGAGCACCTCATGAACATAAAGTTTCAACACAAGAAGTTACAAATATTGAATATATTTAATAAGATATAATGGACGTGTCTCTTGACAATTCATCAGCATCATCTCCTTAGTCTTTATGGTTGCAGTTATGGCAGTAAGTTACTCTAAAATCACACATAGTGACTCTCGTGATTGAAGAAGAGATGTGGAACCACATACAGTACATTGATTCGCTAGAATGCTGAGGTTTTTTTAATGTTAGACATTACAGAGGAAGTTTATGGAAGCTTAACGGGAATCATTCTTGTGGAACAACCTTTGAGTTTAGTGATCAAAGAAAAGATAAACCATGTTACTGAGTTTCTGATAAACTAATGGTAAGTAAATACTTTGTTGAAGTACAAGGAGAAAATAATTCATGGTTTAAAAATAATCCTCAGATTTAAGAGTGCCAAAATGTTGCAAGATGTTCTCATGAAAATTTCGCCTATCCAAGCCTCTTTCCAGTTTTGGATCTTACTAGAGATGGACAATTGACAACTGTGTCAGATATCAGACCTGAACTCCTCGTCAGTATCCTCATCAGGCTCCATGGTGCTCAAACCTTGTCCTCCTGCCCACCTCCTCCTTGTACTGTGAGCTGAATCCTGCAAAGTGCATAATGCCCGTGCACTTGCTGATAACGCTCACAGCCCTGCCAGGAGAATGCACGCAGCCCAAAGGAGGGCGAGTGGTGGGATGGGTCATTTGGCTGTGGGGGGAGGGAAGCAACTTTAATTTCCAGAAGGGGTTCAGTCGGAGCCTGGCTGCGTGAAGATGTTCAGAGGCTGTGATAGCTGGAGGCTTCTCCCAGCCACAATTAGCAAGGCTAGACCCCAGCCAGCATCAGGCACATTTGGGTCTATCCTGGAGACCTGCTGGTGCCCTAGTATAGGGGAGGTTGCTGATTCTCTGCCCCACTGCAGCTTCTCCCCCATGGGCTCTCTTTTGATGGTGCTGCAGGTGCCCATATGCTTTATCCTCTAGTTTATGTGACACACTTAACAGAAGAGTCCAGCAAATGCCTATGATCAGGCGCTACTAAAAGCTAATTATCAGTGGGCCCAATTGGAGCTCTGGGGGAACCGATTTAGAAATATAACCAATCCAGTTATTTAAGTTAGGAAATCAGTAGTGTCTGTGCCAAATTCGGTGCTTCTAGCTGTAGCCAGACAAACCTCCCCTCCCTCCCCCATCTCATCCATCTTATTTGCCTCTCTGAAGCATACAGGACAGAGAAGGAGCAATAAAATCAGCATAGTCTATGCTGGCTCATCTGATCCTGAGAAGCTGAAAACATAGATATGAAGAGAGAATGATTAAGGCAATAAGCTGGCCTCGAGGCTGCGAGAAGTGCCCGGCTGGCACCCATGTTGATACGAACACACACAGCCGTCCCTGGGAGGGGAATCCCCCACTGAGAAAAGAATGCCCAGTACTTCCAATTTAATCCTCTCAACTCTCTCTTACAAGTGTAAATTAAGTTCACAACTCCCTTGTAAGAACTGGTCTCACAAAAGGCAGACCAGAACTATTTGGCATCACAGATAAGAAAGAGAAATACGTGACCCCATGGGTATAAAGATGGGTACAGCAGAACTCTCACTTCTGAGTGTCATTCTACCCTCTACCTGTTGGTCGGGTTAGGTGTTTGACCTCCCGAGGTTCTATGGGGATGCCCACCTCATATTTTCGTCTTTCCTAGGAATTGAGGGACCGGCCCTGGCCTGACACGCTGGAGTCGAGAGGCACAGAAGGTGGTAAAAATTGTACCTGGATGTGGTCCTCTGTCTTAAGTAAAGGTTAAGCTATTACTTGGTACTATTATTTCTGTTTTCCTATCTTTTTCTTCGTTGTAACCATTTTTAAGATCTATATTTTGCTAGTAGTTAAGAAATAGAGCAATAGCCATTGCAACCATATGATTTACAAGCTTCCTCAATAAACCCGTAACTGTTTAAGTTTTAACCTGACTCCTTCAGTTGCTGTAACAGAACCAGGCACAATTTAAAAGAACTTCAGCCGGTCTTAAGGGACAGATATAGGGAGAGCTTGGGCGTTTGGATTTGTGTCACTCCCAGGTGGCAGATCCGTTGGGGCACTTCTCAGCCTCCCCCAGGCTGCCCGCTGCAAAGGAATCACAGATTCTAGCAGCTAAAATCTGAAGTGTAATAAGCTATCCCTGCAAACTTATTGGGGCGCTCGTCAACCTCCTCCAGGTTGCCCGCTGCAAGGTACCCCGGTCTCAGCAGTTGAAGTCTCGGGTGTATAGCACACACACACACCACTCACTCCCCTGACCGTCAGCTGACACTAGCTCTTACCTTTTCGGAGATCTTTTCGGACAAACACACACACACACACACACACAAACTTTCAGAAATATTTATAAGATTTATAATCATAGATTTTAGGGGATTACTATGATGATATATTCTGACCTGCATGCAGTAGAGCCTCAGAATAACAAACATAAGAGTTACAAGCTAGTGAAACACACACCTCAACTGGAACCAGAAGTACACAATCAGGCAGCAGCAGAGACAAAAAAAATTAGCAAATAGAGTAGTGTACTCTGTTAAATGTAAACTCATTTTTTTAAAGGAAAGCAGAATTTTCTTCTGTATAGTAAAGTTTCAAAGTTGCATTAATGTTCAGTTGTAAACATTTGACAGAACAACCATATCATTTTGTTCAGATTTGCAAATATTTCAGAGTTATAAAATAACCTCCATTCCCTTCTTTGTGACTCAACCCTCCAGTCACATCACTATTTAGTCCTCCCCTGCTGGGATGTCAAAGTCCCGCTGGACCAGCTGTCTATCTAGTGTATCAACAACTTTTCCAGTACAAGTATAGGTTCAGTATCACTTTCCCACTACCCTCGGTTTCAGCCCAGGAATTCTATACCTATCAACATAACTCAATAGGAGACCCTGTTGTTTCCCTGAGCTCCTTTCTAACTCTCCTCCTGCCTCCATGTTCACCAGCCTGAGCTTCGTCCATTCCCAGGGCTACTTCATCCCTCTCAGGTTCTTGCCAGACTTTGTAGTCCAGACCAGTATCCCAGGATTTCCCCCGGTAGAACTCCTCCTTGCCCCAGCCAAATCCCCTTTTGCTCTAGGGAGGAACTGCAGTGCTCCTACGTGCAGCCTTTTCCTGTTCTCAACTTCCTGACTTTTTAGAAGCTCAGCCTACCTCTGCCCACCTGATCTTCATCTTCAAATGGGCTCTCCTCTAAGAGCAGCATATAAAATCAATTGGTCCTTTTTAACTTGCTCAGGCCTTGTGTGGGGAGCTTGTAGAAAATTATCATTGCCTGAATCTCCTCCTTTTTCTAATGGTTTCTAGGGGGTAGCCAGCTGGCTTGCCTCTATGCTGTGCATCTTGAAATGGTGAATGCAGTACAGAAAATCTGCTCACTGTGCCTCTTTTCCTAGTGCATCTACAGGCAAGCTGTCTGATTCCTTCCCTATTCATATGTAGATTTAACAGCTGTCAAGAGACTAAAGGTTTGTGTACAAGGTGTGATAATGTTCACCAGTGGAATGTGAATTTGAATGCCCACCAACATTTGGCACACCAAATGGCTTGTGTATAACCTCCTGGCATGCACTAAAAGTCCCCTAAGGCAAACTAACTTGGAACTGTTTCAAGCCATTTTCAAACTGTTGTAATTCTGTGTAGACAAGTCCTGAGGTAAAGAAGGGTGGCTTTGTGGTTGAAATATAAGACTGGGGCTCAGAGGACCTGGGTTTTGCTTCTGGCTGTAGGACAGGTTTTCTGTATGGCCTCGAGCACGTCAATCACAGCCATGTTTCACAAGTGACAATAGACACCTCAGGCATCTCAAGTTGGGCTTTGGGGCACCCAAAATAGAGGCCATTTTTGTTTCTTATTTCTCAGTTTGCCCCTCTGTAAAATGATTCTAATGGAAGATAATGATGATGAAGTCACCCTACGTCCTGAGAAAGATGGGATTTGGCCTTTCTTTGCTCCCCCTGAAGACCATGACTTGGGAAACAAACCAGATGATATCCCACAAAGAAGCTGAATAAAGAGACTGTTGCAAGCTATTGAAGCAGACCCCACTGTAGGAAATAGGAAAGGGATAGGGGATAGAAATATTGGAACAGGAGACAGCCACTTAGACCCCCGGGGATAGAGGTAAATGGGTGCAGATAGTAAATAAATTGAACTTCACTGTTTGGCTGAGCTAATTTCTCTGAGATTTTTTTCTGATTCATTTCAAAACCATACAAACCACATTAAAAAAAAATATGACCCTCAAACTTCTAAAAACTGAAGCTGGTGAGTTCCTCACAACTGTAATTAGTCAATCAACACAATGAAAACCACCGCCAAAAGTAAACACATTTCATCACCTAGACTGTACGTACGCTTTTGCACTGCCCATGGCACAGGGCTGTGAAATCTCTGAAGGGACTGTTGTTAAAGTAACTGGGGCAGGAACAAGCTAGAGGTTTCAATTTTAATGATATGGAATGTCAAGTTTATAAATAACAAATTAAAGATGCGCATGATTCCTTTCCTCAGAATTCTTGTATGTCTGCTGCCGACACTGGAGAAAACGAGGAGGGAGGCAAGGCGTCATCTGCTGCCTGCTGAAAATTAGAGCAAGTGGAGGAAACAGTGCCAATCCCAAGCCCAAATAAGAGGAGCGTTCTACATCTGGGTTTGTGATCCACTCTGGTAAAATCTCATTGCAACAGAGACATCTTGGTTAAATCTTGAGGATGGTAGGTGAAGACAGAGCTCAATATCTAAATGTGACAGATCTCAGGGAAATCTCTCAACAGATATGGCATAGTCAAAGACCAAATCCATAACAGGAACAGGCAAAGGGGATGTAGGTGCTGTAAATAGTAAAGGAAAGCCGGCACAAGTTACACTAGAAGTCAGGGGCATGTGCAGAAATTTCACTTTAACTCTTTTGGGGGCATGTTCTGTCCCTCGCACCTTAGCCCTGTCCTTGCAGGAGCTTCCACCTCCCTCCTGTCCTAGCTCCAGCACGAGTTTGCTCTTCCTTCTCCCAACTCTGGCCTGGCAGAAACTCACTCTTCTCTCCCTAACCTGTGGCCCCAGGGGTAGGAGGTTCTCAGTCTCCCATCTCACCCCTGACACCACAGTCCCCAGGCTGGAGGAATTTGTGGACGTGATAATTATGGAAGGTGTCCCTGGCTTGCCCTATCTTACACATGCCCTTACAAGAAGTGGAAAAAAATGCCACTTGAATATATTGGTTATCAGTGAGATAAGCAGTGCAGGGAGTGGCTGTCTGATGGTGCTACCATCTTATACCTAGCAGGAGGAACTCAGAAAAGAGGTGTAGAAATTGTGCTCACTAACATCACAGTGAAGACTCTGCTGTCAGGGGACCATACATTTTTGAAAAGTGTTTCAAATACACATCATATGTAGCTATGTAATAAATATGAATATTCCCTTTACCAAACAGTAAAACACAATGAATATTGAATATTAAGTCCTTTTATTACTGCATAAAATTGTCCTATGTTATAGAATTGGTTATGGCTCTAAACTTGTTAAATTTAATCAAGGAGGAACTGGTAAATCAGGGATTTCAGTATTTTCTACTACAGGCAGTCCCCGGGTTACGTACAAGATAGGGACTGTAGGTTTGTTCTTAAGTTGAATCTGTATGTAAGTCGGAACTGGCGTCAGCCGCTGCTGAAACTGATCAG